TGCTGAGGTGTTATGGAAGACCAGGATGCTTCAAGAGTGGCATTGAGGCAATAATTGCTGCAAAAGGGGCCCAAACCAAGTACTGAATTCCTATGCATGCTTATACTTTTCAGAGGTCCGATATTGTTCTTTGTACAATCCATGTTTTATTGATTGCACACAATATTCTAATTTTCTGAGATGGTGGATACATCTTGAACGATCTTGCTTTGCATGTAATGAGTTTTATCTCATATATTAGTTTCACCTTTTAAGTTGCATTACTGAAATAAATGAACTTTTGCACAATATTCTAATTTTTCGAGTTTCACCTGTATACCTCTGGAAGGAAAGGTATGAGAAATGGAAACTTTGTGCATAATAAGTTAGCAACACAAGGTTTTCGAATATAAAATTTCATTCTCCTACTGCTTTTCAATAGTTTACAAATTGAGCGTAAAGTTGACCGTTTTTGTAAAAATGCCAAAAATAGGGTATTTTCAGCCCACTTTTACAAATGAGCCACAGTTGATTTATTTCATCATTCTTATTTTAATTTTTATCTCTTTTTTGTCTTGTCTTCTTGTTTGTTGTTTCCTCTGTTCAGTTTTTTTCAGCTGCTCTTTCAGTTGCCTCTTCTTCCTGACAATCCTAGTTTCTCCTTGTCTTTTGTACTATAATTTCAAGGATTTTTCTGAAATCGGAGCACTTGACATGGAATGACCCGCTTGTCAAATTAATAACTATCCAAAGGAATAGTATGAAATCATAACCAAGACATCAAAACCAATTTAGCAATTTTTGCTGAAATACCCCAAGACTAATCCCACCTGCATATTTCTTTTATATGTCAACTATTCATATGATCTATATTAAAGCACTTTCTGCTGAACTATTTCTTAGTTTCTAAATAACTATTCTAAATAGGTACATATGGCTCCAGCTCTTAAAGCTTATTTCCAGAGGAGAAAAGATAGGTACAAGCAGCCTATAGTATCAGATGCTTCCTATTCCTAAGGCCAAAAGGTGTCCAGCATAGGAAGATGCTGTCTGTCTGTATTAGTTTTTCAAATTTAGAGGGCTAGAAATCACTCAGATGACAGAGGCAGAATCTGGAAAGAAAAAGGTTCTTAATTTAAGTTTATCCCACCTTTGAAAAGATAGAAAGTAATATTTTTTTCTGTTACGTTATTCTATTTTCATCTAATGTGGTCTTAGACCTAATGTTAGTTGGTGACTCACTATTACTATGAACTGAAGCACATGTATGTTAACCAAATCCATGATATGTTCTCTTGCAAGCACATGACAGAACAAATTTTAAGACCTGTCAATTATACCTTCCTGATAACGATTTAGAGACAAATGATGCTCCAAAGAGCAGCTACAACTGTATCACCAAGGAGAACATGGATGAATGCACCATCCCCACCCCACTCCCAACGGAGCTTATCCACAAATGCCATCAATACTGTTTCAGTCCCATAATTCAGGCCTGCAAACCAACTGAGAGAGTCCAGCTATTCTACTTCTTTCAACAAGCATCTTCTCAACCACCTTCCCTAAAGAGGGAAGATTAGAGACAAGGACAAAGGATGCATTCGGCAGCAGTTGAAAGTCAGGCCTCTAAGGTTCTGGCGCTTTGGCATTGGGGAAGAGACCATTGGCTGGAATGCAGAACCAGTTTAAGCCACTGAGCGTTCCCAGAGTGTAGCCCAAGTCCTATTTTCTGCCATATCTCCCTCAGCCCATAATTAGCCCAGAGTATTCCTGAGTATTTGACCAAAAGCCCAAGACAGGATTCACTGAAAGAAATATCAATCAACTAGAATTCTGAATGGTTTTCTACCTCTCCGCAGAGGCAACAATTTATTCTCCAAGATATCTCTGGCATCAGTGCCTTCATCCATCAGGTCTAACTTGGTTATTACTCCAATTGTTCTTAAGCCTGAGAAAGAAAAAAGAATTGTAATCAAATTGTGAACCATTGAGCAAGTTGTAAAATAATTTTCTCAGGATAATTTTTCTTTGCAAAATAATAACAACAATAATAGCACTTATATACCGCTTCATAGTGCTTCACAGCCCTCTCTAAGTGGTTTCTAAGCCAGCATATTCCCCCCCCCCCAAACAATCTTGGTCCTCATTTTATCCACCTCAGAAGGCTGAGTCAACCTTGAGCCAGTCAGAATCAAACCTCTGGCAGTGAGCAAAGTCAGCCTGCAATACTGTTTTCTAACGACCGCACCACCACTACTCTTATAATCTTTCTATATTATGTGTGACAAATTCGTCATCCGTCAATTGCAAAAGACAGCTTTACTCAGAACAGCTTGCATCCTGTGATGACGCCTTTAATACCATCAAACAACAACACCTGACTATCGCAAGTCCTTGGGAAGGACTAGATATTTCCGTGATGGTGAACCTATGGCACATGTGCCAGAGGTGCCATGCAGAGCCCTCTCTGTGGGCACGTGTCGCTGCGTCCCGAGACATTGGCCCAACCCGACCATGGCTGATGCCAACCTAGCTAACATGAGGGCTGGCAGGGTGGGAATGGGATCCGGGAGGAAGGTACGATGGAAAGAGGGACAGGCCCGCAGCTGAGGACAGGCCCTCACATGACCCCCTGGCCAGCTATTGCGGGGCTGGGGGGGCATGCACAAGCGGGGATACTCTCCTCAACCAAGCGGCCGGGCTCAGCCGAAGTGCAGCAAAGGTGCGCGGGACGGGCAAGTTGACAGCTGACGGGCGCTTCGGCTTTTTCTCAGCCTGATCCCTGGGGTGGACACACGATGTTCGGCAGTGCCAGTCCCCTTTTCCCGCTGCCCTGAGACTCTTTATTCCTCCAGCTGAGCGGTTCTGGTGGCGTTGACGTGTGAAGGGCCTGGCCCCGCAGTGCTTCCGCGCTCAGTTGATGGCTTCATTCAGCCTTCAAACAGTAAGGCTGTCCATGAAATTGGAATCGGCTAAGTGCAGGAACCAATGCCGTCTGTGGCCCTGGTGCGCTGCTCGCTTGCATGTGCCAACCTTACTTTTTGAACTTACTGTTTGAACTGGACTTGGTTGAGGAGGACAATGACGAAGACAAGGAGAAGAATGATCGAGGCTTTGTGCCAGCCAGCAGGGAGCAGGTCAGGCGGGGCTGGCTGGCTGGTTGGGGAGGGGGCAATCATGGCCTTTAGGTGGCTGCTGCCGCCAGCAGTTTGCATGCCCCGACTGAAGCTGGAATTCGCCACATTGGGGGAGAAATGAGAGGCTCTGCTGTCTCACAGGATCTGCCGCTGCTTGAGTGGGGAGGACGAGGAGACTCTCTTTGGGCGGCCTACAAATGGAATAAACTCCAAACTCCAACTCTTCCTGACCTCTCCTGTTGGTCTCCCATCGTATCACTGAGGATGCATTGGTTACATAAGGAGAGGGAGTGGGCCTCCCTCTGACCCACATACTTTGCCCTCCTGCACACACCAT